CTATTACTGAATATATAGTTAATTATACATATGACCTTGTATATATATCAATAGGTATTGTATTGATCAGTATTCAGTATGTAAAAACTTCTTCATTACATTGCATTGTAAGGCAATGCTATTGTATCAGTAGCTTTGACGTTCATGCACGGGATTTTCATTTAATGTTAGACATAGACTACATAAGTAAACATCTATACATATAAATAAAATTGGAGTGTCTGTTTGTAATATTGAAATAACCGTTTTTTACTACATGTATATGAATATAAATACGGAACATACACAAAAATATATATTTTTTTAAATTTTGTCTGTCTGTTTGTTTGTTCCAGCTAATCTCTGAAATGGCTGAACCGATTTTGACGGGACTCTTCTTGGCAGATAGCTGATGTAATACGGAGTAACTTAGGCTACTTTTATTTTAGAAGAATAAAGTTAAATTCCATGTGGATGAATTCGCGGGAACAGCTAGTGTTAGTTTGTAGTTATTTAGAAGCTAAGTTCTTACTGTCTCGATAGATTGTTGTCTGTATTATAAAATGTTCAATCTGTTTAAAGTGAGTTCCGATAAAGAAATAGAAACAAGTACATGTATTTTAATTCTTTGCAAAATAAATAGTACAGAATCAAGCACCCGAAAACTAACCCTATTGTAAAGAACAGCTAGTCTATACATATAAATAAAATTGGAGCGTCAGTTTTTAATATTGAAATAAACGTTTTTTACTACATACATATGAATATAAATACGGTACATACACCAAAATAACATTTTTTACAATTTTTGTCTGTCTCTCTGTCGGTCTGTTTGTTCCGGCTAATCTCTGAAACGGTTGGACCGATTTTGACCGGACTTTTATTGGCAGATAACTGATGTAATAAGGAGTAACTTAAGCTACATTTATTTTAGAAAAATTATTTTTATTTGAATAAATGATTTTCTATTCTATTCTATAAAAAAAGCCAAATAATTTTATTCTTATAGGAAGTAATTTTATATATTAACACACTTGAATAACACAAAACCTATATTTATTTAATTAAGAAAATAATAACGATCTAATCAGTTTTAATCGATAGATTATTAATCTCTGAATTGGAGTAATTAATTACGGACGAAGGCCGAAAATACGATTGCAAATTATACGAGCGTGTTTTCGCCCTTGGCCATATTTTCGATTACATTACTGACTAAAACCTAAACTCGACTAAACCTAAAGTTCAGTCGATCTAATATACAGGCTATAAAATATTTTGAAATAAGAACGATTCGTTCCTCAACGTTGTAAACAGACAATCAATGTTTGTCTTAACAATCAAAACAATGTTGAATAAAGCTTACAAATTCAAACATACTCGCTATCCAATTACATAACAATGTTGCAAGACCGTCCCATACTTAAACTAGTCCATATATGCATCCAGAAATCAATAAAATCTGCTCAATCACTGAATAAATAAGACGTTATGAATGATGGACGTATTTAGAAGTTGCTCTATAACTTTGCTTCCATCATGAATTTCACAATGTTTATACATTAGAAATAAAGCAAGGCCAACGTAAAGTAATATACAACACTAAATACACAATTGCTGATACAGAAAATGTTAGAACTCACCCATTTATCAAACTGCAGTTTAGCCAATCTAAGAATTTCGGTACATAAATAGTTTTTCACGCCGCGGCACTTGGTAAATAACAAAACACTGGGTTATAACAATAAACTAATATATTTGAATGTCTTCGTAAGGCAAATCTGGGTGTTAATTACACGAAATTAATTAATTTAATAATTTTATTTGGGAAAACGTGTAGCGATCGAGGAAAAGTTAGCAGTTCAACTAACTGACACTAGGAGCGCTGGTGTAGTTTTATTTTGACATTTCAAAATACAGCTGTGTTCATTATGGGTGCGATCTAGAGTTAGTAAATTCAAATAAGCAAAAAACGCAATTTTTATATATTTATATATATATTTTATATATATATATTTTTTTTAATTAACCAGTCTGTTTATAATTAATTTTAGTTTTCAATATTTTGTATATACATTCTTTTCTTACTTACTAATATTGAATTTTACTTTAATTTGCGTAATGCCACTTATCATTTAAAACTTTATTCAAATAAACTTAATATAAGCACTTTTGAATAGTCCATTTTTTTTATTCTACCGCTCATAGACTCATCACAAGAAGAATGAGCAAGAAACTGGTGTGTTGCTCTTAAATAAATATTGTTTTAATTAGATTTACATTAATAATGATTAGGCATGCGACAATCAACATAGAAACCGCTACTTACGCACTTAATCTCTGTTCAATCAGATAACATTGTCTAGCACACCGCTTTACGTCCGATGGTCGCGGGTTTGATTCCTCGCACGGCACAAACATTTGAATTTGATCGTTAGATAATATTTGTATTTACAAAAAAAAATGTATTTGTATCTATCTCAATAACACAAGCTTTAGGTAGCTAACGTGGGTCTAGATGGCGCTGTGTGAATTGTCCTGAGATAAAATAAAAAAAAGCATAATAAATACGAACGATTTAATGTTGTGTATGTTTGTTTTAATATAATATAGAACAATAACATACAGCTTGATTTAGAAAGAGGGAGATTGCTAGCAATGTTCAGAGTCACTTATAGTGGTATCCCTCTGGAAATCATAAGTAACTAACCTGATTTCATGCTCATATAATAATAATTATTATTATGTAATCTTATGTTATTTGTGACAACAATTATAATCACAGGACAATTCACACAGCGCCATCTTGACCCAAGTTAAGCTAGCTAAAGCTTGTGTTATGGGTACTAGATAACTGATACTTATACAGATTTTTTTTGTAAATACATACATATTATACATAGAAAACACCCAGACCGATACAAATAATCATACTCATGAATACAAATGTTTGTGCCATGCGAGAAATCGAACCCGCAACCATCGGTCGTAAAGCGGTGTGCTCATACTCCACTGGTGCCCCGCCAGCGCATACCGTTGCAATGCAGTCGGGAGGTACGGGTGGTAATACGGATGGTCGCGGGTTCAATTCCGTCTCATGAATTGTTTATATTCTGCACTGTCTGTGTATATTGTATATGTATTTCACATTTATTTATTTTATTTAACTATTGTCATCAGTATTAGGCGGTAGCACCATTCCATAATGTTTATTAAAGTAATATATACTTGAAGCCATGGGCAGGTCCTGGGCTATCTCTACTTAGGGGTCCACCTAATTATATTACTCAACTAAAAAAATACACCGACCAAAAACAAGCGACCAGAGATTCTCCGTTCCTTTCTATAGACGCGCACTTGCATGGGTTGATTGATCTCAGGGTTGCCAACCTTATGATAGGTTTTTTAACATTCTAGATATTTTTTTTATTCTAAATAACGTTTCATTGGATACTGGGGGCCCTTTGTATCCTCGAGGCCGTGGGCTGCAGCCCCTGCTTGAAGCATATAATAATAAATACACATTAAGAACATTAATATAAAACTTTATTTAATTATTAAAAATATTATTTCTCATAAAATAAGGCATACATGATGTACTATAAAGTTAATTTAATTGCACTTATTGGTGGTTGTGGCCAGCGACCATTTGTCACTAAGCCACGGCATAATTCAACATGCTGCCCACCTTCATGAAGGGGGACTACTGGCCGAAGGTGTATCAGCGCTACTGTGGCAGATGGAGTAAGTAACCTGACATTGAGGGTGTTGCAGCTGGAGTCGAGTCACAACGCGAGTTTCAAGGCGTTTGTTCCTTCATGAAGGAGGATTACTTCGTCGTCAGTGCCGTGACCACAGAATTTTATAATATTATATATGTATGTTAGTCTATAAGGTATTTATAATATGAGCCTAGTAGCCTTAAATAAATAAGATATTTACAGCAATTTTCCGACATCCTCGGCAGTCTAGCAGTTGTGTTCTAAAGTCATAACATAATAAAAAAAAAATGTGTAAAAATATGTTTATGACTTGCTGAATCGGATTTTATTTTTATATACACATTGATGTGAAACAAACACAAAAATTACTGGCACGGTACAAACATTTTTATTTATGATTTTTTTTCGGACTACTCCAATGCTGTTGGCCGCAGCTGGCCTTTATAGCTTCACCGGACGATAGGGGGCGAGTGCAGATGGCACTCCAAACCAAAGGAAGGACTTATGGAGCGGTTAAAGGCCAACTCCCGCCTGACGGATACGACTTTACTCTGAGGGCACCGCTAGGGGTTCGAACCTCAGCTTAGGCTCGTAATTTCGATCCCCGTTTGAATTACACAGGGGATCGATCGGAGGGGTTTATTTATGAGTATCTTTGTGTCGGACTGGGTGTTTTCTATGTATATTATGTATGTGTTTACAAAAAAAAAATATCTAAGTATTTATATCAGTTGTCTAGTACACATAACACAAGCTCTACTTAACTTGGGACTGAGTTATTTGTCCAGGGTTATTTATTTAAACTGTAAATTTGAACATTATTAAGGATTTATTATCAAAGATTACTTCTCTGTGTGTGTGTGTCAAATGGTATAGTGTGTAACGTTTTTTCTATTAATTTATTGTGTTTTAGGCACATTATTAAAATAATAATCTCAGGACATTCACACAGCGCCATCTAGACCCAAGTTAAGCTAGCTAAAGCTTGTGTTGTGGGTACTAGATAACTGATACAAATACATAGATATATATTTTTCATAAGTACTTTCATATTATACATATAGAACACCAGACCGATACAAATAATCATACTCATGAATACAAATGTTTGTGCCGTGCGAGGAATCGAAGCCGCGACCATCTGAAGGCGGTGTGCTAAACCGCTAGATCATCGAGCCCGCCAAATCGTCAAATATTACCATTCTGCATTGCTTCTCTATATAAACTAAGTGTGTGAAATTACATGCTCCTCTATCGGAGCAATTGTCGTAAAAAGGGGTACAAAGTTCAAGGTCAAGCTTCGTAAATTCTTTACTAGTGGCCCGTCCCGGCTTCGCACGAATGTATTACATATTTTTTAATTTCTCGACTTGTTCTATACTGTAAAACGCATGTATTGTACATATAAACCATCCTCTTGAATCACTCTATCTATTAAACAAATTCGCTTCAAAATCCGTTGAGTAGTTTTAAAGATTTAAGTATACATAGGGACAGACAGCGACAGCAACTTTGTTTTATACTATGTAGTGATGAGTAACCCTGTATATAAATTTCAATACTCAAGATTTATCTTATACAACGTATCACAGACTTGTTCTATAGAAGGTCTGGCATTTCTCTGTGGACTCAAACATTTCTTAGCAAGCTCGTATATCTGCTCAGCTTGTTGCCAGTTACACATCGCTGGGTCTAGAAGTTTAGTGATGTTGCCATCTACAGCGTTTTCTTCTACGTAATCTTTTATATTGATCGTCTCATTATCATCGACTACAATTGGTCGGAGACCAGTTAGCAACTCGAGGAGTACAATACCATAGCTGTAAATATCTGTTTTCTGGGTTACTGTACCGCTAAAGCCTTCTGGTGCCATGTAAGCTGATGTGCCCATCAATGATGACGTGATGAAGGTGGAATCTACATTCTTTGCAAGCCCAAAGTCGCACAGCTGGAATGAGAAAACATAGTGTTAGCAAGCTTCAGTTCCAACCCAGATTTTTGTGCTGTAAATCAGCGCTGTAACGCCACAAACGCAATATGCTCAGAATATTACGCCTTTGTTTTTTTTTTAATTTATTATTATATTATAGCATATATATGGTCTAAGTTCCGGTGCAAACATTTGCAGATGAATAGAAATAGAAATAGAAATAATCTTTATATAAATAAACTTAGTCGCGATGCAGATTTATCACAAGAAGAATGAGCAAGAAACTTGTGTGTTGCTCTTTTAAATAAATATTGATTTAATTATATTTATCGAAATAATCTTTATTCAAATAAACTTAATACAAGCATTTTTGAATAGTCAAGTTTTTTTATTCTACCGCTCATTCGGAATGCAGACTCATCACAAGAAGAATGAGCAAGAAAATTGTGTGTTGCTCTTTTAAATAAATATTGATTTATTTATATTATATACTTTATTATGAACTTTACAGTAAACTTAAATCTATGCTATCTGAAGAGATACTAATAGAAGGGTCTTGAGTGTAACAGAAATATTACAAGTGTAGGCACAAGAACATATTATATTGTATTTATTATACTGTATTTATCATAAACATGTTCCACTATTATTTGAAAAAAACTCATTACGAGCACTTTTGAATAGTCATTCTTCTCATCTCGATATCATTCCGAACTGACAGATTTGACATATCATAAGAGTCTGTAATAGACCTACATGAATAAAGATATTTTGAATTTTGAATATATACATAAATAGGTTATATAAAACGTTACCTTGGGCACATACTCCGAAGTTAACAAAATATTTGCACTCTTCACGTCGCCGTGCAGAAAGTTCTTCTTTGAGCCTGAGGCTGACTCCTCATATATATCATCTTCGGCTGGCGGCTTCACGCACCTGTGTATATACTTCAACCCATCCGCTGTCCCTGACATCACTAAGAACCTATGTTTCTCATTCAGTTTCCTTTCCGCCAGATTGGTCTCCAACGAGCCTCCATCTACATATTCGCAGACAACGCAGAGCAGCGGCCCGTCTGCGGAGTATCCTATAATTGGTACGATATTGTGATGCCTTAACTGCGCTAAAGCTTTCACTTCCGAGTTGAATATTTTAACAGCTACGTGAGGTCTGTTTTCATAAATTAAGTTCATGCGAAATCTTTTAACTGCCAGATTCTTATCCAGCTTCTTATGATAGCCAACATAGACATCTCCGAAGCCACCACTCCCAATCTTTCCTACAGGACCTTTAGCTGTTTTAGTTAGGTTCTCAGCAAACTTATTAGTTATAACTGCTAGTACATTATATTCGAAGTGAGTTAGGCTTCTGTTATTAAGTATAGTGGTGTCGATTTTGGTAATATCCACAGCTGGGAATGGAGGCAGATAATCAAGTACAGGAACAGTACTGTTCGCTGCAGATGGTTGTGAATTGTTGTAGCAAACTTGATCGGACTGAGAGGGAGGTAACAGAGCATCGAAATCCGGTATGTTTGACGATTGCTGCGAAAATTTGATTAGATCTGATGCAGATTTGACCTGTGCTGTTGTTTTGTTGCCTAAACTTTCGATAACTATTGGAATGTTGGAACTGGATAACATTTGAGCTGTGCTATCGTTGTTCAGGACTCCGTTGGGTCTCTGTTGGTTGGAGTTGGGGTACTCCATACTGATGTCGTTGATAAGTAGCGTTATGTCGGTATCTACTACTGCCGCTGGTCCATCGGTAGGTCTTACTGGTAGTGATTCTGTAAAAAGATAATTAATAATAATCTTTATTTGTCTCAAACAGAAACTTTTTACACAATACAACTATTGCCCATAGAATAATATAATTTAAAAACTATTAATTTAGACCGCTCGACCACCGAGGTCGTCTATATATAATGTTACTATTTGTTACAGAGTTTTAAAAGCCTCAATGGTCTAGTGGTTTAGTTCACTGGATTACTTCCGATGTTCGCAGGTTCGTTTCCTCGGACAAACATTCGTATTCATGATTATGATTATTTGCATTGATCTGGGTGTACTTATATCACATGAATTATTTAAAAAAATTTGATTGTCTGTTTGTTCTGGGTAAACTCTAAACTCTGAAACGACGATTTTGACGGGACTTTCATTTGCATATAAATAATGTTATAAAGAGTTTTTTTTATACTATGATGGTGGCAATCAGGCATACGGCCCATCTGATGGTAAATGGTAGCCTATGAACGCCTGAAAACCAGAGATATCAAATTCACGTTGCCGACCCTTAAGAAACCTTAATATACCCTTCTTAAGAAACCACATGCTGTAGTCTCGTTGGAAAACCTCAGCAGGAAGTTCATTCCACAATCTAAACTTAATCACAACTTAATCTTTCTTATAGAAATATTATTTATATTAATAAATTATAATTCTAGTTGGATGAAGTCAGGGGTAATAGATATAAAATTAACGATAAAAAAAATTAAATATAAATTTTTTTTTTTTTTTTTTCTCTTTTCTTATCAGTCCCGGAACTATGAGCAGATTTTTTGGGTGTGGGATCTAAGAATGGAGTGTCCACCCCAGCGGGCGAATCTACTCCTTAAGCATACTGCAAACATTACACAATGTCGCTTCTTTTTAGTCGCTTGGGGTAAAGTATTTGTAGTAATTGAGCAACCAGTTGATTCGGGGGGTCACATAGTCGCTTTCCTTTAATATAAAATTATAAACATATGAAGATACCTTTCATGATAATAGCTATTTCATCAGCGGCCCTAAATATTTCAGCTTTCAATATCATATTATAAAGTGTGTTGAGGGTGGGCCTCACACGACCCGAGGTGCCCCACTCATCAAACAGTATTTCTGCACATTTCCTGTTAGTTTGCTTCGCATGCTCCTCAATTAATCTGCAACAGAATTATTGATTCTTACACTTCTTCAAATTCAACAATCATTTATTAGTGTAGGACATTTTAGCCGCTTATGAAAGTCAAGTTTTACATTATAATTTTTCTCACCTAGGTACACATATTTACATTCAATTTAAATTCAAAGCCTTTATTAATTGACACAAAATTATATAATCTAACATAATATTCGATTAAAAGTTTAAAATTTAAATGAAATATTAGTGATATATATGTTTTATGTTACTTCAAATTCTGCACATCAGTCTCTGAGTCAATGTGTCCTTTAGACACAAAGGTCTCCTCCAGCATTTTCCAGTGTTCCTATCTTTTGATAACACATGGTACACACACATATACTTTTGAGAACACATGGTAAATGAGATATGTAAATAACACATATTGACATATCTTTGGTTAAAGCAATGGAAAATTAAATTTAGCGCCTCAAAATTAGTTCACATAACTTTTACCCTCAGAAAAGGCAACTGTCCAACCGTGATGATGGCCCGAGCACACATCCCACTAGTGAAACTGTAAAATACCTACCTGGGTATGCATCTTGATCGTCCACTCACTTGGTGTAAGCACATCCAAGCTTTGACATATCATAAGAGTATATAATAGACCTACATGAATGAAGATATTTTCAATTTAAATTTGAATTTGTATATTCTATGAAGCTTCATATAGCTGTGTCTCGGTCTTCCCTTTCCTCTCTTTCCATCTATTTTTCCTTCAATACCATTATTCATAAGTTTGTCCTGTCCTATCAAGTGGCCCAACATTGTCTCCGCCTATTCTCAATAATATTTATACTAACTATGGCTGTGACTTCAGCTGCATGGAATTTAAATTTATTTTTCTAAAATAAAAGTAGCCTAAGTTACTCACTATTACATCAGCTACCTGCCAAAAAAGTCCCATCAAAATTGGTCTAGCCATATATCTTGGTTTATGTACCATATTTATATTCATATACATGTAGTAATAAACGGTTATTTCAATATTACAAACAGACAATACAATTTTATTTATATTTATAGATGAATACATTATTCTTTTCTCCCACCCTTTGCTATATGACACAAGAAAGAAAAAAGTTTTCATGAACATCATGGTTTGAGAGACAGTGGAATTTTGTAGCTGTGACTTTTTCAAGTTTCTCCATAAGTTTTGACAATTGCATTCTCATCGATTTGGTATATGGCTATGGGGTTACTTTATGTGGTAAAAGTGGGGGAGAGAGATATACCAGCGAAATCTCTCTACAACCTACTAAAAGATCTTTGCCTGTCTATAACTGCAAGATATATACTAGAATGTGTATCTAACGCAACAGGCTCAAACCAAATTTGCCTGGGCAGGGAGAGATCATCAAATCAGATTTATTGGCATTCCACTATATTCCTAAGAGTTGTAAACAGGCATTATGACTTTGTGGTCCAAACCATATAATAAAATAAAAAAAAAAAGATTACTTACCTCATATGTTCATTGTTGTATTTAGGCTCAGATGTTTTAGATAACAGGTCCTTAGGTATTTGGGACATAACTTTTCTCCAATCATTATTAGTTTCTAATATATCAGCGATACGACACAGATGGCCCGCAGGTAACTTCCTTAATTCAACGTCTTTATACATTCTTATTGGCACAGTCACAACACAAATAAAAAATAATATTTATTCTTTTTACTACATTAATACTTTATAATACATCTATGTAAATTTTGGATGGAAAGTTGTTTATTTATGTATATTTTCGAAACAAAAGTAGTAGTTTTAATAAGAAATACAAAACGTTATGTTATGTTGATATGTTATATTTTCCTGTTGTGAAAATATTGCAAATATAATTTGCATCTCTATACTCTTTGGAATTGACTATGATTGGCAATGACGTGAGATGTCAACATTATGGTTATATTTTAAAACATTTGACTCACTATACTAATTAAAAACAAGTTTTCTGAATATATAAAAAAGTAATTTAAGAACGAAAAAAAACAAAAAACTAATTGTTAAACCGGTAAAGTGCAAGTCGTCGTACTCACGGATGGTTCAGTACAGTGCACACTAATTATTGTTTTTGTAATTTAAACAGGTTTCTAATCACATTTTTTTTTAATTACTAATACTGGAATGTTTAGGTACATTTTGTTTACAACAATTTCAAATTGTCTTCGATAAGTTTACAAAATATAGCTATGTGACAGACATAGTCATTCAAGTCATATTGTATGGTCCGTTTTTAAAAATTACTTCGAATCCCTAAAAATGAAAAAGATCTAATGACATGACATATCACGTGGTCCAACCAATATGTATGAATTTTCAAGTATGTCAAAATAAGATTCTTGATTTTTTTTTTACTTTTAAGCAGTGTTGCCATTTGAATTCGCTAAATTAGAATAATTGAATGCTTTTTTTCCATTGTCTTACAATTCCTATAGTATTACATCCTCTTGAGTCTTATTAACTCTTGTAATATTTAAAGTCTATGAAATTATACAAATTCGTTAATTAACGGTTTTACTTCAGTGAAATTAAAAAAAAAACTATGAGGTACTAAATAAAAACTATGAGGTACTAAATAAAAACTAAGAGGACTAGACGTTGAGTTAACAACTACTAGTCCTCTTCGTCAAATAAAAGGATAACTAGGCATATTATTATTGTGCATTATTTATCCAAAACGGTATTTTCTTAATTTCAACACATCTCCCGCGTCTTTTAGCAGTTTCCGTAATTTAATACGGCAACATTATTTTCCGTTGTTTGTTTATCAAAACATTTTTCAATTTAAGTTTACATTTTTAGCTAGAACTTTATTTTACTGTTATAATTATTGTTTCTTTTTAAGTAACTAGTTTTTCTGTTATGACGTCAGTAGCGCGGGCCGCTCGCCTCGCCCGGGAAGTGAAGAACTTCGAAACCAGACCTCCATGGGGCATTACTTGTTCACCAGAGAAGGAAGACAGCTTCGATGTGCTTAAAGTCAAATTGCTGGGCCCCAAGGGCTCACCGTACGAGAAAGGAACATTCAAACTCGTTATAACAATCCCTGAGAGATATCCGTTCGAACCGCCGCTTGTCAAGTTTACAACGCCAGTTTACCATCCAAATATTGATGATGGTGAGTTTTTAACACATTTTTAACACCTCGGTGGTATAGCGGTCTAGCACACCGCTTTACAGCATATTCATGAGTATGATTGTTTGTATCGGTCTGGGTGTTTTCTACATATATTATGTGTGTATTTACGAAAAAAAAATTATCTATGTACTTGTATCAGTTATCTAGTACCAGTAACACAAGCTTTAGCTATCTTAACTTGGGTCTAGATGGCGCTGTGTGAATTGTCCTGAGATTATTATTATTATTATTACTTGTTTCCAGGTGGCAGGATATGTATGGACATGTTAAAGATGCCTCCAAAAGGTGCCTGGCTACCAACAATCACACTTGAATCGCTGCTCGTCTCACTACAGACTCTACTCGCTAATCCGAACCCTGATGACCCTCTCATGATGGATGTAGCTAACGAATATAAGTATGATATTGAGAAATACTTGGAAAATGCAAGGAAACACACTGAAAAACATGCTGTATGAGTATGGTTATATGATTTACTAACTGTGCCTGTGTTAAGTTTCAATAAAAAATATATCCTATATGTTATTCTGATGAATAAACTATATTACTGTAAAGTTTCATAATAATCCGTTCAGCAGTTTTTACTTGAAAGTGTAACAAATATTGTTTATAATATTATTAAGATTATTGTTAAGTATAAGTTAAGTTTTATATTACATTCTAATTTTGTAGTAAAAGTATATTGTTTTTTTTTTTATTATTAATTGTTATTATTACTAACAAAATAAGGTAGATAGGACCCATACAAATATATAAATGCACTAAAACAATTATCTATACATATAAATGGAGTGTCTGTAATATTGAAATAACAGTTTTTTACTACATGCACATGAATGTAAATACTGTACATACAGCAAAATAACATTTTACAGTTTTTGTCTGTCTGTCTCTTTGTAGTCATGTTGCATAATCTATTTGTCAGGAAGGCTTTAAGCTACATAACATTACGCTACAACCAATAGGAGCGGAGCTGCAAAAAAATATTGCAAAAGGTGGGGAAATAAAACGCAGATGAAGTTACGCGAGTCAGTTAGTTTATTATACAAGTAGAGTTTAAACTTATTCTAGGTACAGCCAAAAGGGAAAATATTTTTTTTTAATATGCAATCTAAATTTTTCTAGCTGATCCGACAGAAGTTGTTCTATTGAATTTGCCAGAGAACAAAGTGGGAGTCTACATTGTTTTAAGCAAATAAATATAATGTTATTAATTACGACCTCAATGGCCTAGCGGTTAAGCTCACCGCCTTATCGAATGCTGGTTCGATTCCTCACACGGTACAAACATTTGTATTCATGAGTATAATTGGTTGTATAGGTCTGACTGTTTCTTATGTATATTATGTATGTATTTACAAAAATATATATGTATTTGTATCAGTTGTCTAGTACCCATAACACAAGTTCTGCATAGTTCGGACTAGATGGCGCTGTGTTAATTGTTCTAAGATATTATTATTATACAAAATTAATTGTAATACCTCTATTCATAATCACATGCTGTATAATAATATAACCTTGCAGATTTTTAAAAATAAATTAAAAAAAATAATCCTCCTCACTCAGTAATCTGTGCCGTGATGTGTCTGCACTCCAAAAGCGGGGTAATGCAGAGTAATACTAGTGTCACCAGAATTTATGTTTATTTTATGTTTTAGTGTGTAGTTTATGTTTGATGTTTATTTATATATGGTAGTATGTCGTAAATGTTTGCTTTGTGTTGTCCGCCTGGATTTATGTATGTATGTGTATTATTATTATTATTTTATTATGTTCATTGTATATGAAGGTGTCCGCTGAAAACCAGCGTCGTGGCACCCCGTCACGACATATGCTGAGCGGAGACCTAGTTGGTAGTCTAATTATTAATATAAAATGTAAATTAAATTTTAAAAATTATTTTCAATGTACTAAATAAACAATTTTCTTTTCTTCTTTTCTTTACATGAAATTAAAGCTATTAAAATGATATAGGGGTCATCCATTAATCACGTGAGGCTTGAAATAATAATTGTCACATTTATTTGCCTTCTTTTTTCATACTGCGTTCTTGATATATGATAGCGTAGCGACTTTTGTATTGATTGCCGCATGCATCCTCATGTAAAGTGCGAATACTGTAACTACCATATAGTAATTTTTGTAGCTGTGACGTGGTCGAGTGGTCTGCTCTTATAACTACGACTGATTTAATCTTATTGTATATTTATCTTTGACCCAAAAAATTAGTGCTGGTTGGTAGTTTGTATTCACACATTCATAAGATTGAACATAATATTCTATAAAGTTTAAGATTCTTTGTAGGTATTAAAAATTACACATGATGTTGAGTGATTGGGGGAGGGGGGGGGGGGGGGGGGGGGGGGTTAGTTTTAAACCTCATCACGTATCACCAAGGGGGGTTAAAAAATGCTTAAACACCACGTATCACCAAGGGGGATATGGTTAAAAAAAGATCGCGTGATTAATGGACAGCCCCAAAGACAATTCCAGATAATTCATATTTCGTGTTTAATTCATTAGTTCTCAGCCCGTGTCCGTACTGCTGTCATCACTAGAGCTCGCGCTCTCCGTCTCTGAAGAACTGCTGTTCCTCTTCACCTTCTTCCCTGCTTCAATATTCTCCACACTGACACCTGTATTGTTATTAGTTTTATCACTTTCAAACTTAGTGTCCCTGTTTTTCTTTCTATCATCACTCGTGGTAGGTTTTAAAGTTTCAGTAGATACTGTGGCCACCATTTTGGATTCCGGTTTGGTGTTGAGAGCTTTGAAGTCTTCATCGTCATCTACCGGTTTTTTATTTGTAGTTGCCGCGGCTACTGCTATTTTATACGCTTCTGGGTATTGGGTGCTGGAAATTAAGAATAAGATTAAATTAAAAATCAATAGAATAGAATAGAAAATCATTTATTCAAATAAACATAATTTAAGCACTTTTGAATAGTCATAACTATTTGTTTTTTATCTACCACTCTGAAAGCTGTCTCATCACAAGAAGAATGAGCATGAAACTTGTGTGTTGCTCTTTTAAATAATACTTGTGAGTTCAAATTTAACACTCAAACATGTGAATACAAACTACCAACCAGCACTAATTTGTTGGTAAAAAATATAAATATACAATAAGATTTGTATTGAAGACAAATTAATGTCAATGTCAGGTTTGGACTTTGGTGTAGTGCGGTGTTTCCCAATTAGTGGTACAAGTACCCCCAGGGGTACGTGAAGTTGTATCAAGGGGTACGTGCGGCTATCAGCAAAACAAACATACACAGTCACACATTAACATTTATTATATTAGTGTAATTGCTACAATAAGGGGTACGCAAGGTTTGAGGTCTTTTTTGAAGTGGTACGCAGCTAACTATTTGGGAACCACTGGTCTAGTGGTTTATTTATTTACTAGCTACTCGCCCCGGCTTCGCACGTGTGTACTTTATTATACATATAAACGTTACTCTTGAATCAGTTTATTTATTAAAAAAAACCGTTTCAAAATCCGATGCGTAGTTTTAAAGATTTAAGCATACATAGGACAGACAGCGACTGCGACTTTGTTTTATACTATTGCCTATCCGGCCTAATAGTAGTTATCCGGTATTCGGCCGGATAGTATTAAGGCCGCCGGATATACCGGATAGTTACCGGATATCCGTTTCATCTCTAATTCCTACATACCTGAGTTTAGTTTTTATAGCTCTAATTTTCTTAAATATGAAATTTAGATCTTTCCTCATCTCTAAAAGCAGTTGTGTGTGTTTCTTGAACTCTACAGAGGCTGCTCTCAGACGACTGGCAGACAACTGGTTACAGTTTGTTAACATCTCCGTAGTTTTTTCAAATCTCTGTAACCTGAAATAATCAAAGCAAAACATAAATTTCATAAGACTTGGGGATTTGATCCCGGGTTCCCGGTTAAAATTTCGGTCCGGAAATCTTGGGATTTTTTGTAACATATCCCAGTATTTTCGGGATTAACAAAAATTTTCATATTAATTTAGTGTTTTCGCATGAAACGAAACAAACTTAATGTCTATTTAACATTTATCGGCCATCTTGAATAATCAGCTGATTGATTGAATTAGTTTTATTGTAGTGATGGCATTGTGTGTGAATAAACAAAAGTTGGTCTTAACTTCTGGGTCTGGGTGTTTTCTATGTATAATATGTATTTACAAAAAAATCTATGTATATGTATCAGTTATCTTATATTACCCACAACACAACCTTTAGCTAGCTTAACTTGGGTCTAGATGGCACTGTGTGAATTGTCCTGAGATTATTATTATTTGTTGAAGTCGATAGTTTCACATACCTATTTGTCTTACATCCCTATAGTTGTAGGGTATTTTAGTAGGTTTCTCTAAGTGAGTCTAACAAAGTTGATATTCTCAAAGTTTAATTTTTGGGAAATAAGTATATATTACAATTTGTACAATACAAATATTAGTCTTCACTAAAATTAGAACCATAGTTATGTTTGATATAGTTTTAAAATGAAAAAATTACGTATTACAATAATTTACTGACACTGCAATCCTACATTGATCCCGGGATCTGTTATTATCTTCCAGTAATCCCGAAATTCCAGGATTATAATCCTAAACTAGTCGGGATCATATTCTCTAGATAGGACAACACAACAGAAAACAAATCTATATACATGTATATATATATATTGTTGTTTTAGAGGAGCTTGCTAGCACAAGCTGAAAATATAAGGCTCGGCTGAGTGTCCACCCTAATGAGCTAGCCCAGAGAATTGTCTAATATATAGATAGATAGAGCTAATATTCTGTTGGGTTCTTACATGTCTAAAAAAAATTTTAAAAAGGTTTTCTTGCAACTGAAATAGTTAACAAGCAAGCAGCCCATGTGAGGGTTAGTGACAGTCTACCCACGCCTTGTCTATCATGTAATATATCTAATATTCTATATTGTGTTCCTATGTGTTCTTAAGTGCCTAAATTAAATTAAAAGTTTTTTTTTCTACCGACACAGTTAACAAGCAAGCATCTGAGAGTTGGTACCAGTCATCAGCATCTGACGGTCTATCCACGCCCTATCTACCATATAACATACTCATCTGGCTTTAGACAATTTATTTTTTTAAACATATATTCTTTTTCATTGACAACATTTCGGCCAGTATGTTTTCTTAATCAATATATAACACTTACATGTTTTTCTGAGCTCTAATCACAGTCTCCACATCAGACTGGTCCACCATACCGGCTAGGCCTTGTACGAACACTTCTGGGGCCGAGTAATTTTGGAAACATTCGATTGAGAAATCACTTTCGGGTGTGTCGTTTGCCATAACTACCGTTTTAGTAAAAAAAATATATAGTTGTTTTTATAAATAAATAGAATTTTATAATTTATTTCAATAAAGTTATATTATTAAACAGTAAGTAATTTATGAATAAAATTTTGATTTCTTATTTTTATGTGTAATAAAATAAAACAGACTTATGACAATTTGGCAGTTTGACATTGTCAAATCTAAATCCGTCAACTGTCATGATCTGTCTAATTGGCATTTCCTCATACTCTTTCATTTAGCTGTATGGGCTGAGTCCTTGGGCCTTTCTCTGTTATGCTTAAAAACTTATCTAAAAATACAACCTTAATAATCCAGAGAGCTCTATTAATAATCCAATTTTCACGTTAATTTGGGTTCATGCCTATTTTTTTACTTGTGGTCTTTACTTGAAGTTTAGATATGAACAATGTAAGAACAAGGAGCAACATATTAACTTATGCAGGAAGTTACGTCTAAACTTGTTTCTGTAGTTAAGAATGATATTTGTATTGATCCAAATGAACAATATAAATATTGTAAAAATACAGATACTTAACAAGAAGACAGTAAAAGACAATATATACTCTTCTTTCTTTTTCTCCCGCTCGCCCGTTGTCTCTTTTATTTCTAATTTTTATACTAGATGTCGCTACTAGTATATTTATTGGCTTTAGTTTAATCATTATACATAATTATTGTCGATTGAATAGAAAAATGTTATTTTTCAAAATTAGAAATTAGAATTGCCTCCTTTTATACAAGTCAATTAATTTAACCGCGTCGTCTTATTCATTATCTAAATACTTTTAAAATGATAAATTTGTGAATTTAAAACTTTAAAGGGAAAAATAATTTCAATAAATTAAAACTCTTTAAATCCTTGTCTACAAGACAAGACAGAAATATACATTTTGAATACTGCTATTTTTTATTCCACTGACGATATTGTTAACCTGGAGATGAATAATTTTTGTTATATTATATAGTATATAATAAAGGTACTTAGTCGGAACGTGGAGAGAGGTAAATACCTTTATTTAGCATAAATCTATTAGAGATAAAACCCACTTAACAATATAAATAATATATTATCACGTATATAAAAAAAAATGTTCACGAATTTTATTACATAATTTAAAAACAAATATTAGAACGGATATTATGGATATGGTTTCGGATATAGGAAAGATTATTATTCCGGATACAGATACGGATATGAAATTATTTCGGATTATCCGTTAGTTTCGGATAATTTCGGTTACGGATATGAATTTTTTGAAGAATTTCAAATGTAAAATACAAATAGCTAATAAAATGGTTACATGACATATCTCAATTAGGCTCCGCCCCTATACGATATTATCCGAAACTTTTATTTCGGATTCGGTTACGGTTACGAATATTTTTTCATATCGGATATCCGATAGTTTCGATTATAGTTACGGAGCTCTCTAACATCCCTGATTAGAAGTAGGTACATCGTTGTATTAATTGACGCAAAAAAAATATGAACTAAAACGGGCCACTTATCTTTGAGAAGGTCTTTTAGTAAGGTTATAATCTGTATATTTGACTTATTATAAGTGTCTCTACTAAACCTACATGAATAAAGATATTTTGAATTTCATCTTGTGATTTGTTGCCAAGTCATACTTTACTTTCCTCCTAAAAAAAGTGCAACACAAAATTTCCTTGCTCGTTCTTCTTGTTGAGACAGTTTACCGAATGAGCGGTAGACAAAAAAAAGTGATGACTATTGAAAAGTGCTACAATGTAAGTTTATTTGAATAAACAATATATAGAGCTGGGCCCTCGAACCCTTACCAGAAAATCTCGATCAAACTGAACTTTTCAAAATTTCTCCCATTTCCAAAATAAATATGACAGATTGCAACCAGACTTTTATCATGGCAACTCAGTTGAGAGAAATTCGAAAGTTATACCTTCGGAATTCCTTTAAATTCTTTCTGTGGGTTCGCAGTGTTGTCAATTTGACAGATAGCGACATGTGCATTTTAATAAAACTATAACGTATCGGGCCCCATTTTTTTATTTGCCCTAGGGCCCTTGGTTACCTAACTACGCCACTGCTCTTTGTACCTGTTTTTTTTTCATCCATTAGTTTTATCGCTTAAACAATTTCTTTCCAGACTTTACAAATTGCGTATTATCAGTAATCTCACTAAAATATAAGATATAATCAATACAGTTGTTTAGTTTTATTAAAAGCATACAGTTAATTGCTCAATTTATCTTTCCTTTTGCTTCTGATTTCATTAACAATCTTTGTTATAATATTTATGAATTCATTACCATTCATAGGTTTTCGATCAACGATGGTAGACTCTATTTCATTTTCAGCATCATCAGAAACATCATATAGAACATTCTCTTTCGTTTGCAATATTTCACAGTGATTGTTCGAACAATGTTTATTAAATTTTGACACAATATCATTGTAATCTTGAGTATCAAGGACTATAACATCAATTTCATCATTAAATTTATATTTCTTGCCTCTGTTTTCCAGTTTTGATACGAAATATTGTGCTGCATCTAAATATTCTAGATCCCCTTTAATATATTCTCCAGCGGAACTGTTGGTTTTATTATGGCTGTAAATTTCTTTACTCTCATAGTTTTTATTGTCTCTCAACTCATGTTTACTCTCACTTGCACATCGTAAGTCATACGCAGATCTTAAGTCATGCCCGCCTCCACATCCGCACCTTAAGTTATGTTCACCCCCACATCCACACCTCAAGTCTTGTTTACCGTCATAAGCAGACGTTAAGTCATGTCCGCCTTCACCATCACATCTCAGATCATGTCCGCTTCCATCACCGCATCTTAAGTTATGTGTTCCCACACATCCACATCTTATGTCATGTTTATCGTCACAAGTAGATCTTAAGTAATGTCCGCCTCCACATCCGCACCTTAAGTTATCTCCTCCCACACATCCGCCTCTTAGGTCATGTTTACCCCCACATCCACACCTCAAGTCTTGTTTGCCGTCACAAGCAGATCTTAAGTAATGTCTTCCCCCACATCCACATCTTAAATCATGCCCAAAACTATTTCCATCATCATCCTGCAACGATTCACTATTATCAATCTCTTTACCTATATCTCCAAATTCTTCCTGCAATTCATTAATAACTTGCTTACTTTCAGGTTCATCTTCTTCAATCTCATTTCTTCGACATTCTTCATTACAGCCACATATCTTCTTGCATATTCTATCGTTTTCATGAAGTGTTACATCGTTATTGATGCGTTGAATAGTCGTTGATAGTGGAAGGGTATTGTCTTGAAGGAGTAAATTTAGTAATTCAAAATTCCATAAATTTGTGAAGCGCTGATCACGAGCACTATGATTGTGATGATCATTATTATCATGATTACGATGTTTTTTATAGCTGTGATCGTCGTTAATTCTAGGATTATTATCAATTCTAATATTCTCTTCTGGCAGTAATTTCGAAAGTTCTGGAATGTTCTCCAATATTAACGAATCGCTTCCCACTATGTTTCTTTGACTTGTAACTGTTATTAATGCAATCAGAAATATCATTTCTAACAATTTGGATGTCATTTTTGAATTGTTTTTTAATACTGTCTGTATATTATCATTCTTTATTTGGAATTGAAACTTTTTTACAATCTTCTAAAGTTGATGGTTGGTTAATTGTTTCATGTAAAACAAATGAACTTATAATTCTATAATAAAGCGTGGAATTACAACCTGCGAGTAGTTTTTTTAATAGTAACAAACCAGGTAGACGACCTCGGTGGTCTAGCGGTCTAGCACACCGCTTTACGTCCAATGGTCGCGAGTTCGATTCCTCGCACGGCACAAACATCTGTATTCATGAGTATGATTATTTGTATCTGTCTGAGTTTTTTCTATGTAGGTATAATATGTATGTGTTTACGAAAAAAAAAATTATCTATGTAGGTACTTGTATAAGTTATCTAGTACCCGTTACACAAGCTTTAGCTAGCTTAACTTGGGACTAGATGGCGCTGTGTGAATTGTCCTGAGATTATTATTATTATGTAAATTAATAACCGGGGTTTTACACAATAAGAAATAACTACAAGTAGACAACGAAATTGTTGTTTAAAAAGTATGAATTCACCTTCACGACTATCTTTATGAAACCTTACAGCGCCATCTAGCCCCAAGAAGTATACATAAATAATATAGAAATAATCTTTACTAAAATATCTTCTAAATATATATAACTCAAAGGTGACTGACGTAGTGATCTATCAACGCACAGCCCAAACTACTGGACGGATCGGGATGAAATTTGGCATGCAGGTAGATGTTATGACGTAGGAATCCGCTATGAAAGGATTTTAATTAATTCTACCCCCAAGGGGATAAAATAGGGGATGAAAGTTTGTATGAAACTTTGTCAATTTTAAACCAATCGGGCTGATATTTTGCATGCATGAAGCTACTATGACGTAGGCATTCTCTAAGAAAGGATTTTGATAAATTCCACTTCTAAGGGGATAAATTAACGCGAACGAAGCCGCGGGCAAAACCTAGTATTTAATACAAGCACTTTCAAATATTCATATTTTTTATTATACCACTGATTCGGAATGTATACTTATTACAAGAAGAATGAGCAAGAAACTTGCGTGTTGCTCTTTTAAATAAATGTTGTTTTGAATAAATACATACAACAAAGAGATGCATGCGACAATCAACATTGAAAAGCTTGTGTTTTTAAGTGCATGATAATGGAATGACGCACCCGCCTGCGCTAGCGGTTTACGCTGGCGGGGCACCAGTGGAGGATGATAAGATGAACACCAGGAATTTATCAGGATGATTTACAGGGGGAACCGCGTGGAGGTCAACCTGACAGTTATATTAGCAATGGGGTCATCAATCCACAATACTAACAATCACCTTTCCCCCCGCAGAATTTCTGTAATGGTTACTAAAAAACTGATATAAATACATAGATATATTTTCTTTGTAAACATATACACAACATACATAGAAAACACCCAGACCAATACAAATAATCATACTAAAAAATACAAATGTTTATACCATGTGAAATTCGAACCTACGACCATCGGAAGTACAACGGTGTGCTAAACCACTAATCCATCGAGGTCGCCATATTAAATTACATATAGAACTCAGTGAAAATCTCGTGAGCGTAATAAAACATTCGCGGGCGCAATTAAAACAGCATCAGTGTAGCACACGCGCGGCCATCTGGCGCGCGGACGTGACGTCACGCAGCCGCCATTTGCATTTTTTTCCCGCCAACTGCGAATTTGCGGCGCGTTTTGGTTGTGGTTCTATATCTGGACCTAGATTAGATTTATGAGTGGAGACAATATAAAATCAAGTATATAAAATATTAATTTAAATAAAAAAACTAATGTGTTTCACATTTAATTTGACCGTTCCCGCCATTTTACAATACAGACTCTATTAACTGCACAGAGTATGTTACAAACATCATAGACTATATTTATACTATATTGGCGGATAACGCGAACTTCGATTTTTAAAAAATTCAAAATACCTTTTTTCATGTATATCTATTACAGACTTATGATATGTCAAATCTGCCGTCAATTCGGAATGATTTCGATATGAGAAGAACTAACAAGAAACTCAGCTCATATTCTCTTCAAATAAATGTTATACATGTTTACAATAATACAGATTCATTTTAAATTTCAAGTTTCATCTCAAATTTAATATGTCAAAGGTTTTTTGAAGTTTAGTTATGCAATTAATTTCTGAACGCACCTTTTTTGACAGGTATCAGCAATTTGTATGGGAAAATATAATTGTTGTTTTTACTACTTTACATGCAATTTCTTCATATTTTATCACCATTTAAACCTACCCTGGACTTCCACGAATATTTCAAGACTAAAATTAACCAAATCGGTTTGACCGTTCTCGAGTTTTAGCGAGACTAACGAACAGCAATTCATTTTTATATATATATAGGTAGATTGTTATATAATCATATAAAATTCTCTTGTCACAATGCTAGTTACCATACTCCCCGAAGAAGCTTGACCGATTTTTATGAAATATTATATATATATTCAATAGGTCTGAGAATCGGCTACTATCTATTTTTCATATATCATAAATATATATATTATTACATACATAATATACATAGGAAAAACCCAGACCGATTTAAACAATCACACTCATGAGTACAAATTTATGTACCGTGCGAGGAATCGAACTCGCGACTATCGGAAGTACGAGGACTATACCGTGAACTAAACCGCTAGACCACCGAGGCCGTCAATTATAAAATCGCAAAATTAAAACGAAGAAAAAATTTTTTGTCAGAAATAATATGAATATGGAATGGTGCTCCCGCCTGCACTGACGGTTTACGCTGGCGGGGCACCAGTAGAGGATGATAAGATGAACATGAGGTCAGGTCAGTTAGCACATCGTGACAAATTCACCAGGAATTTATCACGTTAGTTTCCAGGGGAGCTGCTTGGAGATCAACCTGACATGATACATGGCTAACAATCGGGTTATTAGTCCACATTACTAACAATCCCCTCTCCCCTCACTGGAGACTCAGTCAGCAACATAAATTGACATGTTTAGTTTTTTTTATAACGCCCAGATTTGAACTCACGACTCAGATGTGAAACAGGACTGCAACCGCTAGATCATGACGGTATCTCAATTATTAATCAACTCAATTAATACACGCCTGCAGAAAAACTTAGATTGCAAACTTGTTTTTATAAATCAGTAATTAATAGAGAAATAACAGGCGTGTAATTGAAACTTTCTCGTTTTCGAATTGCGATTATGAAGTCAAATTTTATGATGGTAAGTGTATAAAACAGTGGTGGTCAACGTAACGGTCAGGACCATCGTATCCGTCAGGCGGGAGTTAGCCTTCAGCCCTTATATAAGTTCTTTCGTAGATTTGGAGTACCATTCGCACTCTCCGACCGATCCCCCGTCCAATTCAAACGGGAATTGAAATTACGATTAAGCCGAGGTTCGAACTCCTAGCGGTTACCTCAGACTAAAGTCGTATCTGTCAGGCAGGAGTTGGCCTTCAGCCGCTCCATAAGTCCTTCCTTTGGTTTGGAGTGCCATCTGCACTCGCTCCCTATCGTCCGGTGAAGCTGTAAAGGCCAGCTGCGGACAACAGCATTAGAGTAGTCCGAAAAAAAGAAATGATAACGTGATGTCCGTAGTGCTGTTCATGTATATAGGCGACAGTTACCACTTACCATAAAGTGGGCTGTCAGTTTCTTAGTCATTACAATTACATAAAAAAATGCAGCCAACAGCATTAGAATTACAATAGTTAGAAAAAAGAGTCATGTCCACAGTTCATTGAGTATACCTGAATTCAAAGTGGCAGTGGAGGTTTGCATATCTCTCAGATTATATAGTTTGTTATCGATGTTACCATCACTGGAGAGTAAGATTAGTAAATTGGCACCATTCGCCATCGATGGGGAATTCATCTCCACACGTTGAAACCTAAGTGGTCTCGGACCATGCGGTTTCAGAGGAGCTTCCTCCCGCGTACACTTTAATTATGGAATGAACTACCTGCCGAGGTTTTCTCGAGAGACTACATCATAGGGTTTTTCAACAAGGTTACAATAAGGTTTCTTAAGAGCCGGCAACGTGCACGTGACACCCCTGCTGTTTAAGGCGTCCATTGGCTACGGTAATCGTTTTTAAATTTATACGAAATACAAAGAGAAAAAAACTAAAAGAACGGAAAAAAATGACAAGCCTGTAAACAATGTTCACAACAATATGATAACTTGTATTTTTCAGGTTACAAAATATATAACATTAGGTATAATCATCACATCAGTCTCGTGTCAGTACGTAATAAATACAGCAATGAGACCGGACGTAACATTCGACGATCGCAACGAAAGATTCGATTTAACATCACTGATCGACGAACAAAATCGACAATTCGATAACAATCACAAGATCGACGACTCCGAATATAGAAGGAATGCAATGACAAAATCGAGAAGGAATGCAATCGATAATATACGACGATACGATTATTCCGATAACAACTTTGCCTTTCACGATGACATGAACAGTTCTGAAGACGGGGTTGGTGATTTTGAAACGAATTTGGTAGCTTATCGAATTAGGAATGGAGACAATCGAAGGTTTGAAGGTTTAGTCGATTATTTGCACGGAGGAGACATGGTTATACCAAAAAGGCGAAGTGACGGTCCTGATCCTGAGAAAGAAATACTGTTACATTATGCTGTTCCAATTGACATGAAAATTAAGGGTTATTTACAAGTGCCTGTAGTTGAATAAACTTGTACTCTATCATCAAATTATGTTTATTTCCTTTTACAAGCTCTCCTTTTTATATACCATATATTTATCGCACCGCTCGCCATCGACAGCGAATTCATCCCAACACGCTGGGACCTAAGTGGTCTTGGACAGTGCGGTTTCAGAATAGCTTTCTCCCGCGTACAGTTATGTGGAATGAACTACCTACCGAGGTTTTCTATAGAGAATATAGCATTTGGTTTTACAAGAACCCTTTGAGATAAAGTTAAAATTTCTTAAGGATTCTAAAGGTTTCTTAAATATTTCAAACGTAGCGATTCTTTTTATAGACGTAGACTTGGTATTAGGTTTTTCTGCTGCAATATTTTTTGCTGTGTATGTTCTAATTTTAAAAGACATGGCAGTTCTGGTGTGCAAGCATGAAATACCATGAATCTGCAATGTCATAGTATGAAAGGGATCTTAAGCGTTAAATGACGATTTGATGACGGTTTCCACTTTCCATCTGGTGGACAATGAGCTTGTTTGAGATTCTAATTAAATAAAAAAAATATCAATAAAAAAGTCCTCTATCCCTGTTTTCATCCATTTTTACCCCAATCATACAGATAGCAGTATAATTGCACTTCTTACAACAAAACCAGTTACAGTTGTATAGCTACGATATTTTTTAAAATGAATGATAATGGAATGGTGCACCCGCCTACGTTAACGCTATATGCCGGCGGGACACCAGTGGAGGATGCTAAGATAAGCATGAGTTCAAGTCAGTTAGGACATTGTGATAAATTACAAGGAATTTATCACGATGGTTACCAGAGGAACCATCGTAGAGGCCAACCTGATATGGGTTCCCCAATTCACATTAGGTACTAACAATGCCATTCCCCCAGTACGGGATATTGGACACATTATTACAAAGTTTCGTTTGGTGGGTAAGGATTAATTTCGATCCCAAACTCTGCTTAGCTTGACTTAGGACTAGATGGCGCTGTCATTACGAATAGTCCAGGGTTATTATAATTACTTTTATTAATCTTCTATTACTTCGTTCAAGCACAAGCACCATTCGGTCATAATCCATAAAAGTTTTTTACCTATTGTTATGCTACTTTTATGATTGAATCCAATAACACGGTGGTTAACTTTTAAAACAATTATTTTACCAGTAAGAATTGTAAAACATGATGTAAAAATTATAGTTTTATGTAGTCTGTGATCTCTAACTATAATAATGAATTTAAAATTATTAGAATTTCTAATACTAGTATTAATAACTTTATATACAGCAGTGGAGTTAGTTATAGCTGATAATGATTCAGAAATCTTTAAAAGGCTATTAGATAAAATGAAATTTAGTAAAGATTTTGGAACAGAACTGAAAAAATCTCATACAAGTAAATGGCAGAAATATAGACATAAACATGACCCCAAGATAGGACTTCCAAACTTACTTAACATACAAACACTGAATTTGAAAGGTAACACTTTAGCGAAAAGCTTAAAAGCTCGGAAAGAGAGAGACAACGAACCATTAATGCAAGTAGAAAATAACAGACAGTGTGAAAAGTGTAAGACAAGCTTTGAAGGTAAAGATGAACTTGAGAAACTATTGGATGCAATAGAGAAAGAGATTGAAAACGAAGAAATTGACAAAAATAAGAATAAAAAGATGAGATATATGCATCACAAGCAAAATAAAAATCATGACCGTAATAAATATAATAAATTTAATTTACAGCATAATCATAATACAGAATACAAAGATGTAAATAACAATGTGATAGCAGAATTGGAAAGATACGGCACAAAATACAAAATCAATGACGATATAAATGCTATAGTGCTAAGTATAAGTACAGATGATCTTTTAAAGAGATTGAATATTCTTTGCAAAGAAGGTAGATGTAATTTAAAAGGTACAGATAAAAGAAAGAAAGATAACATAGAAAGAATTGATATGGATTATATATTTGGCGTTGATAAAATCAACAGCGTTGAAGACTACGATATGGAAAAATTAAAGAATATTGACGTTAACTATAGGAATGAGGACAATCTTTTTAACGAAATAAGTAGAATAGCTGAAGCTCAAGTCGATCGCGGCAATTTGCGTTTAGGCGCTGTTGATTTCTACAGCTTTTATTACAAAACAAAAGACGATATGAGAGATTACGCTTTCAAATTTATAAATAACGTTAAAGGTTATAGCGATATAAATTTCTTAACTCCAGATCAAAGAATGCTATTGAGAAATTTGAAAAAGAAATTTTCAACTCATGGTGGACAATACAACATAATCGATTTGTTGAATGGAATAGATGACATATTATTCCAAAACAAGCAAATAGGAAATAAAGGTAATAATATAAATGATGATAATATAAATTTATCAAGATGGTTCACGCAATCGTTCAAAGGATATCGAAATTATTTGCAGAGGAAGCAATGGAAAAAGAGGCGGTTAAACGACAACAAACATCTGTTTCCATTGACAAAGTCACAGAGAGTGAAGATGTGGAAAAATATGGTAGAACCGAAGCTGTGGCGTAGAAACATGGAACCTAAAATTGAGAGCTATGGCGTGCCTTTTGAGCTCCAGATTCAAGCTCTTGGTCAGCTCAACTATTGATTAACTAGTCTTTACAGATATATTTTGTTTGTGAACCAATTTCAATACAATACAAACACAAAATCTTATTAATATAATAAACGCAAAAGTTTGTGAGTCAGATGCATAGATGGATGGATGTTTTGTTTATACCACGTAGGTGACAAAGAAGCATACGGCCCATCTGATGGTAAACGGTTACCGTAGCCTATGGACGCCTGACGCCTGAAACATATTGTGGAGGATGTTTATTTGTTACTCTGTCACGCTAAAACTACTGAACGGGCTTTTATGAAACTTTACAGTAAGCCGATGTAACTTAGAACACAGCTAGTATTAAATATATATAACAGTAATATAGTGAATGTCGCATCGAAATCGGTCAAACTACATGCTTTTTTGGTACATCTGCCATATATAGTGATGTTTTTATTAAATGTACTTATAGATGTACAGATGTTCCCGCGACTTCGTCCGCGTGGAATTTAACTTATTTTTCTAAAATAAAAGTAATTTAAAGAACTAAAAATTGTTTTGTTCGTCTTAATTTATTCGTTCCATTAGGTACTGATAGGTTCAAACTAATACATTTACATCCTGCATCATCCCTTATTTTATCCCCATGGGGGTTGAATTTATCAAAATCCTATTTAAGTGAACGTCTTCATCATAGTAGCTCCAATCTTTAATTTCAGTTCAATCAGTCGCATATATAAGATGATTTATATAAACTTTCACCCCCTATTTTATCTCCTTATACATGAAATTTATCAAAATCCTTTTTTTCCTACGTCATAGTACTTTATGCATGCAAAGTCTCAGCCAGATCCTTTTTTCCGTCGCCTTCTCCTTTAGATCCACGTTCATGCAGGCCCTCTTCCCCACTGGCCTCACTGGGCTATGGGCCCCGCGATTTATTGGGGTCCCCTAGTCTAGTCTAGCCCCTACTCCATTACCAAACGATAACCGATAGCTACTCTACTCTCGCCTGAAAATCAGTCTTAACAAATGCTTATCGACTATGCTCAATTTGTTCATTTTTGTTATTTTTTTTTATAAATGTCCAGCAAGAAATGAACACTTCAGCACATAACGACTTTTTAAAATTATTTTTGCCCGGTTTGTTTTGAAGGTAGGGCAACCCTATACATCTCTAAAGGGTCATGTTCAAATATGACTCTGTCCATTCTAACAAAATAGTGCTTTATTACTATGCCCATAGGCCCCATTATCGTAATGTGTCCACGGTTACTAATAGGTAAAATACGGCCCTGCGATCTTGTCAAGTGAAAGCTTAGTGATTTTATTATTAAACTAGCTGTACCCGCGACTTCGTCCGCGTGGAATTTAACTTCATTTTTCTAAATTAAAACTAGCCTAAGTTACTACTTATTACATCAGCTATTTGCCAAAAAAAGTCCCATTAAAATCGGTCCAGCCATTTCAGAGATTAGCCGGAACAGACAAACAGACAGACAAAAATTGTAAAAAATGTTATTTTGGTATATGTACCGTATTTATATTCATATGCATGTAGTAAAAAACGGTTATTTCAATATTACAAACAGACACTCCAATTTTATTTATGTGTATAGATATTCATCATTTAATAATGAGGATATAGTCCCATTAATAATTCACGTACTAACAACTGTTTTCTTTAGTCTATGGTGTTTTAAACACCATCAGTCATTCCCATATAGTATTGTTGGTTAAATAATTTATGTGATACCACCATGCCACCGGTGGCAATTGATTATGGTGGTCATTAAGCTTTATTGGTAAGGGTGGTATGGGGTGGTGGAAGTTAACTGTTAGTTAGGCGACATAGTTTCACTTGTCACTTTTGAACCATTGATTTTTGGTTACCTATAGTCTGTTTTTTAATCCAATGCAATGATGGCTGGCTCATCCGTCATACTGTGAACGAGTGCTGCTTGTAGGGACTGGTCTGCTCTTATCACTACGACTGATTTAATAATATTGTGTATTTAATATTTTTACTGTAATAAATTAGTGCTAATTGGTAGTTTGTATTCACACATTCCTCGCACACACCCTCGCTAGTCTAGTGGTTTAGCATACCTCTTTACTATCTTTTGGTCGCGGGTTCGATTCCTCGCACGATACAAATACTTGTATTCATGAGTATGATTGTTTGTATTGTTCTAGATGTGTTCTATGTATAATATGTAATTATTTACAAAAAAATGTATTTATATCAGTTGTCTACTACCCATAACACAAGCTCTGCTTAACTTGGGACTAGATGGCATTGCGTTAATTGTCCTGAGATATATTATTATATTATTATTATCCTACTTAAAAATGTAAAGTAACAATAAAATTATTTAAAAGAGCAACACACGAGTTTCTTGCTCGGCTTTCTTGTGATGAGACAGCTTTC